CCCCAACGCTCGTTCCGCTACACCGTTGTACTTGGGGGTGTTGGGGGGGGTGAATTCTTGCTTGATGCGTATCCACGTCAGACCTTCGCAAAGNCTCCCGTCAGCTGCACTCCTTGCTGTTTCGCCGTTTTCTGGAGCAGTTCCTCGTGCGTGTGGCCGTGCGAATTGTGGTAGTAGTTGAGGTCAGTGGGGGTGGCTGCTTTCGCATCGCCAGGAACAATTGTTGCGGCACAGGCGATGTCTACCTTCGGCTCGATTTGATAGCCTTCTTGAGTTAGCAGCTTACCCGTCCGGGGGAACCACACCTTCCCCCCGGCTCTCGTAGTGAGAGTCAGCCCCCCCTTCTGGCCGGAAGACGTGTGGCCTTCCTCGGCCAACGCCAACAGTGAGAGAAGGTTGTGGGGGGACTCGGGCACATGAGCGGCGTTCAGGATTACCACTGGTACCCTACAGCGTTCGGTCAGAAAGACTACGGTCACGTCTCCGTACCCTAGGAGGGGAATGCGGGCCTTGTTGCCTCCGATCCCTTTGACCCAACCACTACACTCGCGGTAGTTCACGAACGCGTTTGCGCATCGGAACATGGAGCACGTGGCTGCTGTATCAGCCACCTACACCATGACATCCTGGCCTAGTTCCGTTACCCCCACTAGACCTAGGTCAACAGCACCACACTCGCCTGGCAGGCCCGGCGCCGCGCAGAAGGCCTGGTTGTCGACGGAGTCGGCGTCGCTGTCGGCATTGACGGTCTGCGCCAGGACGGCCTCCTCCGTCGCGCACTAGTCCTTGCTGTGACCCCATCTTGCGCAGTGTGAGCACTGCGGGAGGTAGTCGCTCTCCTTGGTGGTGCAGTCCTGCTGCGTGTGTCCGAAACGGCCACACGTGAAGCACCGGCCCGGGAACTTCTTGTCCCCGGTACCGCCGCCATCTGCCCCACCAGAGCCACTCCCCTTGCTCTCCTCGACGCCGCCACCGCCTTTTCCGCTGCTGTCGCCGCCCCCGCGGCCGCCGCTGCGGCCACCGCCACGACCACGCCAGGACGACCGCCCTCGGCGCT